AAGTCGACGAACTTGTTTGCACCGGGACTGAGAGTGCTGTCGTCCTCCACGTTCCCACGCATTTGTTCAAACTCCTCTGAAGACTGACCCAAAACTTCACTATAAAAACACAAGATAATTTTAAATGAGAAAATTACAATGAAACTAACCGGCAAAGCATTTCTTTGAGCATGTTTTGTTGGGCATCAATATCCGATTCATACAAACGCACCACGACCATTGCCAGTTGCAAGTCATGGCATTTGCAGAGTATCGTCTGAAGTGCAAATAGGTAACGCATTTGAAGAATGCGGAAAACCAACCTGAAGAGCATCCTTGAGACTCCCACTAAGCAAGAAGAACGCAGCAGCATGATGGAATCGCTGCTTACTCATTAACACAAAGGCATTCTTAGCAGCAACCTATATTGATGAACTTTTTGCAGTGCAATTTTTGCAGAACCCTTTTGAGAACAACGAGCGAACCTTCTTCCAATGTTCGGTATTGAAGTCTTGCATGAAAAATTCGGCCATAGTCGAATTCCTTACGGTCTGAATAGAACAGTAGAAGTAGGGTGAGACTAACCGATGTAATGAATGCACATAATGGTTACAGGCGTGGAATCAAAATAAGCAAACCTTGAACAGATGAGTCAGAATATTCTTTTTCTTGAGCGCTAGGTAATATAACGAAGAATCCATGGGATCTTGATTTTGTTGGAATGCGGCCTTTGCAAGCTATAACGCAGTCTTATTACCTCATCTGTATCATAAGGCAGTACAAAAACCCGATACCTTTTCAACACAAATTTTGAGGCTAGCCGTGTTCTTCAACCACCAAGCCACACCAAGACTTCTCAATTCATCCCACGTCGGATTTGACTTCTGCAAACCAGGGACTGCGTTTAGCAGCTCCGTTTCCGTCTCGGAATGCTGAGCCCAGATGATGTCCGATGAAGCAAGCCCAACTTTCTGTAATAGATGACAGAAGCTGAGAAGGTCACCTGTGACTTTCCACACCTTCAACTCCATCCTTTGCTTCATAGGTAAGCAGACTAGCAGATACTCATGCTGTTTCATAGCCATCAAGTAGCGCAGCCCACATTCGTCAACAGTCTCTATTCCAGATGCGGCTGTTGCGTAGCCTCCTGCCGTAGCATCACCAAGGACGGATGGCACAGCTGGTTGCATGGCTAAAGCAACATAAGTTAAATAGTGTAGGATAAAGTTGTTAGGAAGCATGCGAAAAGCGTGAGAATGATTGCCATGCACTGGATCCCCAGCAAAGTCCTGAGCGAATTTGACCATACCTGCATTCGCCTGTGTTAGCTTATCCATAACATCGGTGGTAAAATGACTAAGTGTGTCTGCGATGGCGAGCAAGTGCATTTGATCGACACTTGATAATCCAGGTAGATGCGTATGCGTTAACATCTCTGTCAGCAATCTAAAAAATAATAACTACTGAGCAAGACAACAACTGAAAAGCTGCATCAAAAAGCAAATTATTACCTATTATGACGAGCGGTAAACACAACCGGTACAAGGTCATCCTGCATATGATCGCTTGATGTGGAAGGATTACGAGAACGTCCAGTTGAATCTGTCTCCCGTAACATTTCATCAAGATCGCTATCTTCAAGCTTGTCCGCCGAGAATAGAGAATCGTACTTTGGAGAGTCGTCCTGTAATCGGTTTGGAGATTCATCTTGCAGTCGACAACAGAAACAGAACAGTGATAAAAAAGCTCACTCCGCCAAAGGCCTCTGCTTTCTCTCCGCTCTCATTGTTCCTGTCGGTGTCAGCAGTAACCAAAGCATGCAAAGGTAGCAGAGCGATATCGTCAATTTCGTTGTAGTCAGGGGAATCCTCTTCAAAATTGATAGGGCGTGCCT